TCACATCAATTGGAGAGAGAAACAAAACATTGTTTATAAGAGCGTGGAAATATCTCTCCCAGCAAACGCGTTTTAAAAATCTTGAAAAGAAGCCGAAAAGAAAAAGTCCAAAGAGGACAATATCTGCTAGCGCTTGGGTTGGGGCAATGTGCCAGCGAAGACGCTGAGCTCTCAAGGGAGTGCATCGAGTATGATTGAGCTATGCTTCTTCTAATTAGGGTTTGAATGATTAGTTAAAAATGTAAATAAATTGTAATTTTAGATAGGAAGAAAGTTATGAATATATAAATAAGTATATATGTGGAGGTAATTTTATGGAAACTCTAATTTAATACAAATAAATAAACAAATAATATATATATATTAGCATTACTGTTTGAGCGTTTAATTTTACGATTTTAGGCTTCTCTTCTATAATTTCCGCCCCCGTTGGAGTTTATCGGAGCTCTGAGTTTCCGATCCCACAAGCGCCAAGGTTCAGATTAGCCCTTCGTTTTCTCTCTTTCTTTCTAAAATGGGGTTCTTCTCTTTCCTTGGAAGGGTCCTCTTTGCCTCGCTGTTCATCCTCTCCGCCTGGCAAATGTACTATCTCTCTCTCTTTACATTTTCAGATCGGACTGTATTATCTCTACGTTCTTTCAATCTGATTATTTTTGTTGTCTTCTACTGTAGATCTGCTAATTTTGATCGTATTTCTGTGTTTATTTGTTCTTCTGATGATCGATTTTAGGGGTTTTGTAATCGGCGCTGTAGTGTGTGACTTTGTCTGTGTTTTCACTGATGTTTGACGATATTTGTCGCATTAGTTTTCCAATCGTAAAGATTATTGCTCTTTTTATGGGATTCATATTCCGATTGTTGATCTCGCCTTTTTCTTTACCATTGTGGACGGTTTGAATGTGCTTTTTGAAATCAGGAGTGCAGGTTTTTCGGAAATGGAAGGGGATTAAGGGATAAACAGAGCTTAGATTTTGTATTAGTGAGGAATGGAGAGTTCACCAATTTTTCTTCGCTAGATATTGAGCTATCGCTTCTTGAGATTAGATTTTGAATGTTGGGCGTTGTGATGAATTATTAAGAAGCTGTATTTTTAGTTGATTCCTGAGGACCCACTTCACTTTTGGGTCATTCTTAATATTTGATTCATTTAAATTATGCATCATTGTGATAATTTGTTTTCAAGCTTAGTGGTTTGATAGAAGGAAATTATCAGATTGTTTTAGGTTCTTGATTTCTTTTTCTTTTTGTGTGTGTTTTCAACGAGATGGAACTTTCTAAACCCTTTTCTAGGAATCAATCTTAATTAAGAAAACAGGTCGAAAAGGTTTTCAAATTTCATCTTTCAGGCAATACAAGTGCAGTATTGCTTAACTTGTGTTAGATAAATTTACGTTTCGCTTATTTCTACGCTCTGTGATTTGAAGATTGGACCGGGTTGTCTTCTTCAGTGTGAAAAAGTTAATCGAGTCGAACATCATTCTGGCTATCATGAAAGTTAGAATATAAAGGAAATGTAATATGTCCAACGTACAATGAAATGAAGGATTTCTTTGTTGTGTTCTTGTTTGTTGTTAAATTATAATGTGCCTGTAAGTATTGCTTTCTATCACTCGGTTAATCATTTTGTAGGAGAGATGGCCGAGTGTTTGTAGGCGTAGTATTGGAATTGCTATGTACGCTTTTTGTTAGGAAAACAATTATATTTTTCAATTATTCAAAAATATAGGGCTATACGGACTCGAACCGTAGACCTTCTTGGTACAACTCATTAGGGGTTATTACTTCCTTGGTAGCTCAACACATGTACTCTTTACTTGCTTATGCAAAACTCCTGGCTTATGACTTAGGCTGGGTTCTATGCTCTCCGGCCTCATGTTAAGTTAAATACACGAGGAATAAGATCGAACTTTCAAGTTTGTGTTTATGTTGAACTCGATAAGGCGTCTATTGTTAGGTTCAATGAATTTGGCACTGATGGTGGACCTGCTGCAAAGGAACTCATTCCGAAGTTGTACACTCTTAGGAGAAACGTCTCCGCTCAATTTGGATTCGACCTACCCGTTATCGACGTGAGTTTCAGTTCTTCTGTGGATTGTACTGCTGAACCTTCATACCATTTTCTCTTTTGTACTCAGATTATGAGTTTGTTCTACAGGTTTCCCATTTAGTTGCTGCGTTTTTGTCTCTTAAAGGCATTGGTGGCCTTCTCTTTGTATTTGGGAGTCCAATTGGAGCTTATCTCCTGGTAGAATTTGCTTTGCCTCCTTTTGTTGATGCCTTTATTACTTCAAGTTACTTTAAGTTTGTTCTTATTCCCATTATAGCAGCCGAGCTTGTTTGTTTATGCAGCTTCTTTACTTGGCAATTAGCACACCAATTCTGTATGATTTTTTCAACTATGGTCGTGACAAGTCCCAATTCAGTATACTAATGAATGATTTCTTACTGGTGAGTTGAGCAAATTTGTTTGCACTAAGCCAATTCATTCGTGTTATTGCAAACGTCATATATTTCGTTTTTCTTTTTCGCTTTGCAGCACGTGGCACTTGCTGGTGCATTGCTCTTCTTCATCGGAACGAAGAACTCGATTTCGAGGAGGCAACAGAAGAAGAAGGCACACAAAGCCAAAACGAACTAGAAATGTAAGACAAGCCATTTCTTTAACTCGAAATCGTACCATTCCTTTCCATTCCCTTCACTCGGGTTGGGGCTCGGATCGAAAAGCTTCTTATTTAATAATCCTTTTTGTGATGATTGATTTACTCATTAGGAATTTCAGTTCTCTATTGACTGTCGAATGTTGTTGGAGTTCATTACAGTCAAATATGAAGGGATTTAGACACATGTTCTTCTCCATTCAAACTGTTTTCAGAGGATTAGAATCTTTTATTCAATTAACCTTATTTGTAGAACTATATGTTGATGTGCATATTTTTGGATGTTGATAATTTTTCTGGAGAATCATTTAACTATATTTTGAATAATCTTGGAAGTCTCATATCAACGAACATGCTTTTGAATTGAACCATCATTTACGATCTCTGTAATCATTTTGATTTCTATCATGTCTGCCATTCATTAGGAATCTAGCATCCATTTATCTGTGAGATTGAAGTGTAGGAATAGTTTCTGATCCTCATGAAGCTCAGATTTGTCTTTGAAAAGTTCATAAACTTTAATCGTGTTCCTACTACCGACGAAATAGTGATATGATGGTTAGAAATGTTACTCGATACGAGTCAATATTCTTTTCAAGGTTAGATATCGAGTCAATCAAGTCTAAATATGAGCAAAATCGAAACTCAAACTATGAGTCGGATTAGGTTGGGTTGGGTCGAAAATTCGTCTAGGTCAGAATAGAGTCATACTTTCTAAGGTAGAGATGGTTTGGTTCTTGGGACTTGTAGGAGGTGAATGCATCGGTTTAGATGTTCCAAGTTCGAACTTTTGAGCGAGCTCAATACCAAAAATCCTTGATATCTCTCGAGTATGAATCTTGGGGTGGGTGTGACGTATGAGGGCCTTTCGATATGTGCCGTAGATTTATGTAAATAAAACGATTCATAAAATTTACTTAAATTAGTGATTAAGTTGTGACATCTAAATTACGTTTTATAATTAGGGCGAAGGAGCAATTTGCAAATCACTTGAAAATTAAGGACCATTTGGAATATTTAACTTTTTTTTGGATTTCTTTACAAAATTTATTCCAGGCCTGTGGTGTTCCAATCAAACAAATATCCGCCATACACGTGTACTCTTATCTCAACTTTGTCAAAGGTTCACGTTTGACCACGTCCGTTAAAATCTAACGTAACGTCGTTACCGATAAGTCAATTTGATGCCACGTCGGATTCCTCACTGTCACAGCCATACTCTCACGCCACCCTTGTCTGCCACGTGTTTAATCTGTCTCGTATGGCAATTATTACTTAATTATTACTCATTTAAATATAAGGAGGTGGATCAACTCTAATTATTAAATTCCATAAATATTTATGAAGGGAGGGGAAATAAAAAAAGACGAATAAATATTTTTGTTTGAATTTTTAGTATTTGTTGAGAATTTGAATAAAGTTTTTCAACCAAAAAAATAAAATTGGTCAAAAGCAAAGATTGGAATCCCTTGTGTTTTATTATGCCCACAGTTTATTCCTTTAAACAAAAACATCAAGTTAAGAATATCTCCTTGTTTCTAGATTTTTCCACTCTCATTATCCACATGGGACTTTATTACAATCTTTTTCAAAAATGATAGAAACCCATATAAATAAATAAATAAATAAATACATCATGTTGTTCGTGTTGCAGCTTTTTGAATGTCTAATAATGTGAGATTCTACATCGATTGAGGAGGGAAACGAAACATTCTTTATAAGAATGTGGAAATCTCTCTCTAACGGACGCGTTTTAGAACTATGAGGGAAAGCTCTTGAAATTAACATATCTCCTCCCAAGGAGCGGAGAAAGACAGAGAAAGCCTAAAAAAAAAAGAACAATATTTACTACCAGGATAAAAAAGGACAATAAGAACCATATCTACTGTCAAAAACCTAAAAAGGATAATATCTTCTAACATGAACAAAAAAGAACTATGATAGAAAACCGTTAAAAGGGAAAGTCAAAAAATGACAATATCGTTTAGTAGGGACCAAAAAGGACAATGATAGGAAACCCTTGAAGGGAAAGCCCAAAAAAAACAAAATATACTGGTGGTAGAATGCAAGTGGAAAGCTCAAGAAGGACAATATTGCTAGTGGAGACAAAAAAGAACAATATCTCCCTGCAAGAAAAGCCAAACTGCCCTCGAACGGAAAGATCGACGATTCGAACGAATCTTTGATTAGTTCACGTTGAACGAAAAAAGATGCAATTTTTTATTCCTTCAAACTCAAAATATGAAATAAACTTATTAGTTACAAAAGTTGAAAAGAAGTGAAGCACTAAATATTGCATCCCACATGCCCATGCCTCGATGCCCACTTTATAATTACCTCTCCTCCTCTTCCTCATCCTTATCTTCTTCTTCCCCTTTAACCCTCAAATCCCCTCTCCCTTTCCTCATGGCTGATTCACACAGACGAATCTCCACTCCCGCCGGTGGCTCTCGCTGCCATCCGCCGCCGCAGCAGCAGCCAGGCTGCTTCCGGAGCCGGGCGCCAGCGTCCCTGCAAATCAACCGCCCCGATTGGAAGGTCGCCATCCCTCTCTTGACCCCGCTCGTCTCCCCATCATCACCCAAAGAAATACAAACTTGGGCGCCTAATTCCGGCGAAGGATCCTCCAATTCTTCAAATCATAAAGAATCGGAGCCGGAGAAGCCGCCGGTTTTTAAGAAATGGCAGCATCCGGCGGCCCCTTTTCAGTACGATTCCGGCCCTATGGATTCCAGATTCGTCCCTGCTTAGATTTTTTTTTTTGTTGTTGTTCTAATAAACTCTTCGATCTGTGAAATTTGAATGCCAATGAAAATTGTAATTATTATTTTTTTTTTTAGTGATTGAAGTGATTGAAGAGAGATGGAAAGATGATGAATGATTGGGATATCATTAATTACTTTTTAATGCGTTCAACATTAATCATTTCACAATCATTGTGACCGAATAAATTAATATTGTATAAAATTTATAATTTGGGATGTGCATGTATGTGACTTCATTGCTTGCTCGAACACATTTATTAAGAATTGACCCGTGAGCCATTTCTGCCTACCAAGTTCAACAATATTGACAAAATGAATATCAATCTCAACTCATGGGATGAAGCACATTGTCATAAAAAATTCATTTTCAAAGGAAGATATCCCAAGACACTTGTTGCACGACAATACATGCATGTGCAATGAGGTAGCTCACTCAAGCCATGGGGTCAAGGAGTCGTCTGGTGTCTGATTGACATCAAGTTTGGTGAATTTTCACGTTTCACTTATAAAAACTTAAATTCAAAGTCGCTTCTCGAAACTCACATTGGAACCCTAACTTTTGAGGATATGGCCCGGGTCCTATCCAACCTTTTTATGCTTGTTTCTAACCGTCTCGAACACATTGTTACTTACTATCTTAGTTCTATCTTAGCTTGACTATCATCCACACTTTTTTTGGTGTGATAAGATGATGCACCGTCCTCCTCTATCGCATTACAATACTTGTCTTTTTCAATACCCATATAGCAGGATGGATGTCACTCCCGTATTTCATTTTAACAAACTACACATAGAGTCATAACCTATTCTCTTCTGAATAAGACTGTGACACCATACCCATAACTACTAGTACAAAATGATATTCTTAACATATTAGATATAGATGGGTTGGCTACCCACTTCGACAGTGTCGAAGTGTGACTCAATGATCTAATGTGGTGCCCAAACACAAACTATTTAGATATTGATAGGAATACAAACAAAAACAATAATTATTCTCTTAATTTTCTTTTTAATTTTAAACTAAAGAACATCATAAATATTCATAATTTTATTTTCAGCTTTTAAAGTAAAACGGCCCCTTAAGATGTCACAATTTGGACAATGTATTGTTTGGCCCATATTTTCTTCATAGAAACCTCCCCTCCTTCCTCCACCTTTCATAAAACTTATACCAACCTCGATCAACTCAATTTAATCCGTAAATTTTATGTTGAATTATCAATTTATTTGAACTGAGTCGAGTTCAAATAAATAAAATTAATTTGTTTTGAGTTAAACAACCCCAGAAATAAACTTATTCAACTCAGTTTAAATATTCTACAGTTCGTTCGGGTTGGGCTCATTGAGTTCATTATCTAATAATAATTACTCGAGTTGAAAAAATTACAACCCAAATAACTAAGTTGAGCTTAACAAATGTATCAACTCAACCCACAAACTCTTATAATGTTGATAAGTGACAGAACACTCTATTAGATAAAATTTGGATAAATGACACGATCTGCTCATTATTTAGATGATGATATAAAGAACATAACAAGATTTGAAATGAACCATAGGTATGAGTCGGGTTGAGTTCGTCGAGTTAGTGCAAATTTTCAAAGTTTATGCTATTTCATTAAAAGTGGTTGATACCAAGGAGAAAGCTACAAACACAAAATCACAACTTGTAAGTTGTAAACATATTCCCCCAAACTACAAACTATTGAGATCCAAATTGTTGCCCATATATTCTCCAAACACAACCTTCCTTGCTTCCTAAAATAATCCATTTTTTACGTTCGGGTTCTATCCATACGAGCCCTAAACGTTTTCCGTTCCATCGAATCACATACTAAACTTGAAGAATCGTTGCTTGTTTAAAAAACTGTGGCAGTTTTTACTCTCGATTAATTAAAATATGAAATTAATATAAAAGATTCATATAAATATTATTTATTTTCTTTTATTAGGTGAACCTAAAATGTTTAAATATGGATTAGTTTAACCAAATCCTAATTTTTTATATAATTAAATTAAAATAAATTAGGTTTGGACAAATCCATGAAGTTGAAGCAAATTGAAAATTTTGATTACTTGTCGTCTTAAAGTTGAATTTGTTTATATTTTTTTGTATTTACACGAACAACCAATCACGAACTAACACATGTATGATTGAGAATAATATATTTGATGATAATAATTTAATTAAAATATCTTATTATTTTAGTACATTATTAGTAAAAATCAAATGATTAGCATATAGGAATAATGTAACGCTTCATGTCCATGATCTCGACTGAGATTTAGATTTTGAATTCAGCTCTTAGTAGCTCCAACATTCTGCTACGACATAACCCAACAAGTCAACATAAGTTTTTCTAGCATGTTTTGTCTTCACTCGATTGTTTTTTACTACAATTCCTAGAAAGTAAGAGAGAAAAAAAAAAAACGTTTAACTTTGAAATTCTAACGATTGAGCCATTGAACATTTTTTAATCAACATATCCTCCAGATATGATTTCATACTCAAACGTTACATCTACCTTTAAATATAACTTTAATGGTCGAGATGGGGAATACGTTATTCCGATATTGATTTTGACGCAATAATATCATATTATAAAATCAATCATAATGGGAAAACAAAAGGAGAGACACCAAAATTGAAAGGCTGAAGATGAAAAAGAAGTTTGTTTGGTCCCTTTCCTCTTTCTCTAAAGGGACACCCATTTCAATAATGATGCTTTTGCTTCAAACTCTTTGCATTCAATTGCATGCTTGCAAACCCACTTTTATTACCAATTTGCCCTTTTCTCGAGTTTTCTACATAATTTTTCTTCTAATTTTTTAGTTGTTTATCTGTTTATCCGAACATTTTAGTAGTGCAATGTAATGGATTAAGTCTATCGCTAATAGATATTGTTTGCTTTGACCTACTACGTATTGCTATCAACCTCATGGTTTTAAAACACATCTATTACATAGAGGTTTTCATACTCGTATAAAAAAAATGTTTCATTCGTCCCTTTTACTGTTACTATTGACCCACTTTCTTTTTGTCACTATTTTGGTTGCTATTTTGCCCCGAAAAAAATATATATTTATGTCCAACAAAAATACCTAATCCCACTAAATTTTCTCCACTTTTGACCAAATTTCTCTCCCTTACTATTATTATTATTTTTTTTTTTTTTGAGTCAATAGTTAATATAAATTCCAATCAAAGCCTTTGACATATTAGATTTTTTTTTTAATTTTATAATTATTTTCCGTTTTGGGTTCCATATTATTTGATCAAAAGGCAAACAAAATTAAATAAAATATAAAGGAAAAAAAATTAGAAAGTTCTAACATGTTGAAGAACTAGTGTAAGTTTGCGGGGATAATCTTCACTCTTAAAAAGCAAGAAGTAGGGAAAGGAATCTTGTCTGAGAGAATGTTGAGGCATCAAACATTAAGTCTAAATTTCAAATCTTGGGTATGGATTGTTATAAATGGTATGAGACATTCGACAAAATTGGAATGTCTGGAGAAGATTAGCACGGTCCCTCACATTGAAAAATAATTCAAATCATGGACATGGGTCGTTACAAAAATTGTGTCTACTACTCTCGAAGCTTGCAATGAATTAAAACTTTAAAAAGTGGAAATGGTTGGAATAGTTGAACAAGATCATTCACTGGTTAACTGCTCGTTAATCAAAGTCATAAAGATATAAAGATTCATGGTTCAAAAAAGAAAAAGTACGCATCTTTACGCAAACAATCATCCAAGTCATCAATAAACTTTGAGAAATGGATGAAATAAAAATACGATAATGTTATCAGTTTAAAAGGAAAGGGGCGCAAGTGATCTACAAATCCTCTGTTTTTCCTTTTCAAATCCGCAAATTGCAAGAATTTTCAAAAAAGAAGTCAAAAGTACGAACCGAATCGCTAAAATTCACAACAAAAACAATCACACACAGCTGGGTTTTGCTTTGTTTTCTCAATGAGGAGCTCCGCGCCGCCCTTCGAGCTCAGAATTAATGCGACCCCATGAGTTATTTTCCACTTCCCAACTGTTCGATTGTTCTAATTTGTTGTTCTTCAGATTTTCAGGTCACTTGGGTTCAGCTTAATTTCTTCGAGCTTTTGAAGATTACTCTTGGTGGGTCGATTTCTTCTGGGTTTTCATTGATACCCAGATCTTGAAGAGGAGCAATGGTTGCAGAGCCTTGGATTGTCAAAATGGGTAACCAGGTTAGCGCTAATCTCAAACAAGCCCTCCTCGAGCCTTCTAAGAACAAGAACAATGGCAATAATAAGCAAACAATCGGTATTCTATCTTTTGAAGTTGCTAATATAATGTCCAAAACGATTTACCTTCATAAATCTCTGTCTGATTCTGCCATTTCTAAGCTCAAGAACGAGATCTTGAGCTCCGATGGTGTTAAAAACCTTGTCTCTTCTGATGATGTTCATCTTCTTGAGCTTGTGGTTCTTGAGAAGCTTGAGGATTTGAACCGAGTGGCTAATGTGGTATCTAGGCTTGGTAGGAAGTGTTCACAACCTGCGCTACAAGGGTTTAAACATGTGTATTTGGATATCATTAATGGAGCTATAAATGTGAAGGAATTGGGGTTTTTGGTTAAGGATATGGAGGGAATGATGAGGAAAATGGAGAGGTTTGTGAATGTTACAGCGAATTTGTACACTGAAATGGAGGTTTTGAATGAATTAGAACAGGCTGCTAAGAAGTTTCAGAACAATCAGCATGAACAAACTAGAAAAGCTTATGAACAGAAACTCTTATGGCAAAAACAGGACGTGGGGCATTTGAAGGAGATTTCTTTATGGAATCAAACGTTTGATAAGGTTGTTGAATTGCTTGTAAGAACTGTTTGTACGGTTTATGCGAGGATTCATCATGTTCGGATCGATGCAGAGTCGATGGAATCGAAACGTGTGTTCATTGAGAGAGGCCATGGAGCGAGACGCGGGTCGAGTTTCAAATCTCAAGTTAGCTCTAAAAGAAGCGAGGTTCCATTGTTTGATGACTTCAATTTTCCTTGTGGAACGAATCCCGGGAGGGTTCTTATGGATTGCCTTAGTTTAAGTAGTTCTGGTGATGAGGATAGTTATGTCGACCACGACGATCCAAGCTGCCAACGCTCGGGTCGTAGCATTAGGAACAGTGGCTCCAGTCAGGTGCAGTTCTCTGTTCCATTCGGAGTGGATTTAAGACAAGCAAACAAT